CCCCAAAACCCCAAAACCCCAAAACCCCTCCCAGAGCCTCCTCTTGAAACCCTTAAAATCTCTACTTTAAAACTCCTTTATCTAAGAATCTGGACTACTTCATAGGCCAGATCAGCCATGAACAGAGTACTCACTGCTAGGATGGCCCAACTGGTGTACTTCAGGAATAGGGATTTGTTACAACTTGTTTGGGCTATAGGTTCAGTGGGGTAAGGGAGGTGGTGAAGGCTGACTTACAGGGTGCGTGTCTGGGGGATGTGGGGGGTTTAGTGAGGAGAAGGTAGAAAATAGCTGGGATAGGGAATCATAGTACGAAGCAGGTTGATGTCCCGAGAAATGCTACTATCTGCCCTAAATCTGTCACTATGAAAGCAATTGAGAATGTTGTGATGTAAACAACCGAAGTAAGAATATAGTACTCCAAATTATCCATTTCCTTCACAAAAGATTTAGATTTGTACTCCATCGTAGTTAAGGCAGTCTTTAGAGCCGAATCTGATTTAACCTTTTCTCAATATTGAGAAATTTTACCATATTTGAGCTCAATTCAAAGATTCAGAAAGGCTTCTTTTCCAGAGAAGAACACCATCGGCATATGCATTAAGGAGATTATCAAGTACACGAAGAGGATGAATCTCCGATATTCGTAATCGGACTCTGAGATGTTCTTCAAAATATCTGATTTTAAGGAATCCCCAAAAATTATGAGGGAGAAGCATCAAATGCTTATGTAAACCACGAAGGTGAACACAAACGCCATAGAGGTAAATTTCATCCCACTTTTAGAATTCTTCAATTCTGGCTTCAGCGAGTTGTAAAGAGGGAAGAAGCACGGATGGAACCCGAATGCAAGGATAATGTTAGGAATTGTCAAGGTATACCCATCTTTCCTGTTATCTATGTGGTCAAATATCTTGTTATCCAGTTCTTCCCAGTGATATATTAGGATATGCACGATGACGTAAAAGAACAGTCCTACACAAATAATTGAAGTATAAGATGCGATTCTTAAATTATGGACTTCCTTGTTAAATCAGAACCAGAGCAGAATGATTGCATTACAAACGACTACTATTTCCCTTGTTCGAGAGTAGTTTTCAAACAGAAGATCCTCTACCAGTGGAGTTGCTGCATCTGCGAATACAACTATGAACATGAGTGGAACCCCAAGACACAAGATCGCGATGAGGATATTTATCACAATGAGTCCTTTCCTTCCCATTCACTCATAAGCAATTGAGGCATATCAAGAATGCCCTGTAATTTCTTTGAGCTCAAGCAGGAGCTTAATTCAGATTATCCCCATCAGTAAGGAGATGATGAAGGCTGTTGTTCCAAAAATAACCCCACATTGGAGCATAGTGTAGGGAAGGGTTAGGATCCCTCCTCCTAAAACTGTATTGATTGTATTCAGTGCGCATATGTACACATTTGATTTCCCTGGCCTATATTTATCAGAAGTGAAACAAACTAGCTCACTTTGGATTGTCTCTATTGTTCCCATCAAACGGGTTCACACTGATCTGGAGAAACGAGTAATTTGACTGAACACTTGATTCTATCTGGAAAGACATTTTTATTTCAGTTGATATTTTGGAAGTGGGGTTTTGGGGTTTTGGGGTTTTGGGG